TGAATTATAGTACTTTACATGATAAAATTAAAATGATATGTAGTATTTACTGTGATCATTTTATCATATGCAACCCATTTACAATGTTAGAACATGATATGTAAAACAATTACTGTCCAAATCTAAGTATTACTTTAAGAATTGTATTGACAATACCAGTTGCTATGGCCTTAATAGCAATATATCTACAAATTAAAATTAATTTTAAAAAGAACTACCTAATAACTACATTTCAAGGAAGATTAGCTAACTTGACATTCATTGCTATCAGAAGGACAAAAACTGTGTGAAAATACAGACTGTAATGACACAGTGGTTTTGCTGAAATGGATGCAAAAAAATAAAATTTCAGCTATGCCTTTAGAAGGACAATCTGTCTGCCTTCCTTCCATCAAACAGATAATGTCCAGCATACCATCAGTTCTCTGGTACTTTCAACTTGACAGGACTCGGAAAGATGAATTGAAAGGAACATGATTGTATGGACATTACAGAGCTATTTCTGGTACAGAGGATTTGTATGACCATAGAAAAGAGACTTGAGGAGAACCACATTAGCCTCCAGGGCTCTTCATGTATTTCTGGATCACTGATGCAATCACCATTTGAGGTAAATGAGAAGAGGTCAGGAGATTTCAAGCAGAGTGAGTCATGTTTTTTTGCCTCCTTCCAACCCAGGAGCCCTTAGATTAGCCACCTGTAATTTCAACATCAGTGCTTCCTTCCCATCACCATTGCCTTTCCCTTTCCCAAGATCCTTACCAGCCAGAACAGGAACCATCTTTAGTCCAAACAATACTACAGCAAGAGCTGGAATAAGGCTAGAGAATGACCCCATAAAGAGAACATTGAGATCAGGAAGAGGAAATATCTTGATTATTTTCAAAAGATATCAATCCCCAGCAAGGAGACAGAGAAGGTTAAAAGAATATGAATGTGATTTTTAAGTGAGATTGAAACAATAAGGGGTGGACTAAGAACAGGCGTGAGAACCACAGCACAGGAGATAGCTGAGTTGGCTGGGGGCATGGTGACTAGAAGCCAGGAGTGACTTAGGCACAGAACTGGGAACTGGGGAAAGTTAGGAAGAACCATGCCAACCACAGGGGGGCACTGCGTCCCCATGGACTCACCTGGAATGTCTGGGACCCAGAAGTAGAGTGGTCAGTAAAGGATAGCAAACCCCTCTCCCTTGCTCCCAGCAGAGAGCATCTCTCCCTCTTCCTAACTCTTGGGTTTTATGTACAGAGACATCTACAGGACAGACACACGTCACCACCCATTTCACACCATCCCCATGGCAGCTACATACACAGCCACTCACATAGATACACAGGGATGAGCTTTGCTCTCTCTTCTGAAGATTATCCTGCTAACGCAAGTTATCTATACAGATGAATGTGCTAAAAAGACCAGCCTACTCTTCCATATTCACAGCAACAGCTACTGCCAGTCAAGGCTAATGCTGGTTGGAGTTATTTGCCTTTTCCTCATGTTTTGCCACAGCTTAACAATCAGGGCTTTTACTGATACTCTACCTGTCCTCATACTAAGCTCATATGTTCTTGTTGACACCAAGCTTTGCCTTCATGAGAAAGAATAGCAGGAGACATGGGAGAAGTCAATGATGATTCATCTTGGAGGAAAATACTCTTGTAGCAAAAATAGAAGTTCACTGGATAGTATGCATTACCAGTCAGAAAGACAACAAAGTAAATTTTAGTTATACAGAGAGTGAAGCATTTTTCTTAATGGGTTCTTGGGAAAAAGTAGATTGACCCCATATAAATCATTCAAGAATACTCTGAGCAAACCCTAGTGCTCCAAACATTGCTCTGTTGGTATCACCTACCTAGAGGAAGAATCCAAACTCCAGTGGTCCCCGCTGGACCAAGGAGAGGGGTCCTGTGTGTCTGGAAAATAACTCAGAAGGTCCAATTTAAAGAGTCTGTATTTCAGTATTTTTAAAAACTTTTTCACTTTTTCTTATTAGAGAAGTCACACACATTCAATATGAAAGTGTTGGAAACTCAGAAATCTCACCAAAAAAATGTTGTAATCTCAGCAGCCAAAGATAAAGCCTGTTAATATTTACAAAGTTTCTACCAATCATTTTCCTGGTTATACTGGTTGACAACATAAAGGGAATATTCCACAACCTGCAAGCTGTATGTGGCTCAGGAAGGCTATGAATGTGGATAGCAAATGAATGCAAATTTATTTAAAGCCTTTTTTTTTTTTTTTTTTTTTGCTCAGCAGTTTTCATTAGTGTTTGCGAATTTACTGTGTGGCCCAAAACAACTCTTCTTCTCCCAGTGTGGCCCAGAGGTGGCAAAAGTTCAGACACCCCTTCTCACAGAATGTAATTGAGTGGCAGCATAGTTTTCCATCCTAGAGATGAGCTGTCACTTGCTTAACCTTTCTCTTATTGCTGAATATTTCAGGTATTGTCCCTACAACACACTGAGAGCTGACAACTGTGTTTGACATTTTATCCTTAGCAGTGGCGGCCTTTTCTGATTAGTTATTTCAAGTGTATACAATTGCCATTATGGGGATTTGTTCTAATCGCAATTCTTTATTGTTTCTGATGCCATCTGCCCTCTAAAGATAGTCAGGGCCCAAGGTTGCCAAGCTCTCAGGCTGGTTGCCTCCAGCTAAGAACAGCCTATGTTTAGCCACTGGGAGCCCTTCTTAGTATGTCTTTTCTTTGTCAGGGTCCACACAGCAAAGGCAATACTTTTTACCTACCAGTCACCAGATTAAGATATACCCCAGTTGGCTGTGTTTGCTATAGGAATCAAGAGGTTACAGCACAGTGAATTCATTTTAATGCTACATGTTAATGTAACACTTCGGGACATTTAGCATATTGTTCTTAATTTGCTAATTGCATTCCAAATACCAACAATGTGGTAGGGCATATGTTTAAAGGTGAAGCTCAGACTTAGACTGCCTAGGTTTAAAGGTAGTTGTCACCTAACAAGCTAAGTGATCTCGGGGGTGGTATTTAACCACCTGAAGACTCAACTTTCCTCAGCTGCAAAACAGGTTAAAAGCAGAATCTACTCATAGGATTGTGGGGACTAAATGAGGTAATATTATGTAAAAGTGTTTGCTAAGTATCTGGCACATAATGATCAGTGTGTTAGCTACTTACCTAAGGGGGTTGGGAGAAACTAGCATGTAAAAAGCATTACATTTATTAGCTATTCATTTTTGCTCTCTTTAGTCGCCTAAACCTAGCTTCTGTCTCTTTACTACATTCTCCCTGTGATAGCATGGGGGGGATGGGGGAGGACCAAGACTTCAGAGTTCTCCAGAGAAGTAATCAAGGGAACGCAGGCAGTTAACGTATGCAGAAAATAGACTTCCAGTCTACCATGCGTTCCTAGACACCCCAAGGAAAGGGCCCCCTCACCACTGGCTTTCCGAACGCAGAAACCAGAACCTCATCTCATCCCTGTGTATCTATGTGAGTGGCTGTGTATGTAGCTGCCATGGGGATGGTGTGAAATGGGTGGTGACGTGTGTCTGTCCTGTAGATGTCTCTGTACATAAAACCCAAGAGTTAGGAAGAGGGGGAGATGCTCTCTGCTGGGAGCAAGGGAGAGGGGTTTGCTATCCCTCCTCCAGGTTAAGTTAAAACTGACGTTCTAGTCCCACCCACGAACGCTGATCCTCCAAGGTGATTTACATATAGATTTGTCTATTGGCTACTAGCAAGTACTCGCTCTCTTCATTGGCTGATACTTCCGGTGCCAAAGTTGTGTAATGGGCGTTTTCCACAGCGAGTGAGACTGGATCATAGGCACTACCTTTCCGTTTCCGGTTCGCCTCCGGAGCCATGGCGACCGTGAGAGGCCGTGGGTATCTGTTGACATTAGGTAGATGGCGCCGGGGCGTTGAAGTTGCACCCCAGTCCCGGGTGAGTGCCTACTGTCCCTGCCCTCGGAGAGACCCTGGGTCTCCGGAACTGCTCCGCGCGGAGCAGGAGCGCTCTAGGCAGCTCGTCGCCGAGCGAGCTCCGGCAGCCTTCTTTTCTGCCCCGTATGCAGCCTTTTCTCCCCGGGTCTGCAGGCTCGTGCCGCCCTTGTGCCTGGCGTATCCCAGGTGGATAACAGGTCCGATTTTCTGGGAAAGAGGCCCCATCGCAGGCACCCCGGCATCCTGCAGCTACCGAGTGTGCGCCTGCCTCAGGCACTGGCTGACACCGCTCAATTACTGCTGCTTGGTGAGTAATGATGGGAAAGGGAAGCTCGAGAAGAAGCGGAGACAGTGCCTGCATAAAACTCATGCCGTTTTTCATCTTTGGCCCCTAGAGAGTTCAATGCCCAATGTGGAGAAGCAGGTGCAAGCATTGATCAATTATCTCTGGAGCCGGCATTTACCCGTGGAGCCAGAGGAGTTGCAAAGATGGGCTGTACATCTGGAGAAAAGATTCCTGGAAAACCCAGGTAGGGTTTAAGAATAATTAAAGAGTAGGTCAGCCCTTGCTGGTGTAGCTCAGTGGATTGAGCACGGGCCTGCTAACAAAAGGGTCCCGGTCAGATTCCCAGTCAGGGCACAAGCCTGGGTTGCAGGCCAGTTCCCAGCAGGGAGTCCGCTAAAGGCTACCACACATTGCTGTTTCTCTCCCTCTCCCCTTCCCCTCTCTCCGTCCCTTCCCCTCTCTCCTTCCCTTCCCTACCCCTCTAAAAATAAATAAACAAAATCTTTTTTTTAAGAGTAGATCAATTGGGAATGTCAGTGAGAAATGAAGAGCAAGAAGTAATTTTAGTCTCATAGATACTGCTGTTTCTTATTTGATATTCTGCATGGAGAGTAACCATAATGATGACCCACTAAGAGAAGATAGATAATTTCAGAGATTGCTCTTGGGTCTTTGGTGAAGGTAAATGAGTGCTTTAGTATCTTGTCAAAATCTAGATCTTTGTTATTTTCCTCCAATTCTACTGGCTTAGACCAAGGTTTTATTCCAGTGAAATAAAGTCCCTGTATGGCTCCCTGTCCAGTGCTGAAACCTCCAGGGATAAAAGAATAAGTATAATTCATCAAGTTAGTTTCTTGATTGCAAGCTCCTTCATCTTACAGACCTGCCTTTTACTCAGTATATTTTCTGTACTTCCCACAGTACTTGGCTCATAATAAACGTTAGCCTACAAAATAGTACTGAACTGAACATAATCACAAGTCTTAAGATTTACAAATCCCATGCCTCCTGTAGGAACACTGTTACAATATTAAGTTTGAGGAAAGTGAGGAAATCCATAAAATATGGTCCTTTTCCTATCCTTTAAATCTTTACTACATTCCCTGGCGTGTGATGGATCGAGTACATAAACTGCTGTTAGAGACAAAATACTATTTGATTTGCTCCAGTGGTAGTGGTGATGATTGTTGTTACTCTTATCTGAAATTTTTCTCTGGAATTGATTTCTTTCTTAAGCTTTGAGGTTTTTCCCAAGTGGGAGTTGGGGAGGAATGGGCAGGCAATGTATTCAAATATTGGATTTGGGCCCGGTTCTTCCCAGATCCTCACTTCCAGTCCTTGTTCTCATCCCAGACTCACCTCAGACAGAGGAGAAACTTCGTGGATCAGTGCTGCGTGCCCTGCGTAAAACTACTTATCATTGGCAAGAACTGAGGTAAGGGAGGCTAGAGGAACTGCAGAAGAAAGAAAAGTTTGTCTTTTGAAGGGGAGTTGGACAAATACAACTGCACAATTTTGTATTTCAAAAAGCAACCTGGTTTGCAAAGTTCCCTAGGACTCTTCTGTGTTGTGAAGGGAAAGTACTGACCAGGAAGAGCCCTTTCCAAAGATTTCACTTCCTAAAAATCTAGAGGTAGCTATGGGATAGAGGTTATTTCCCAGTAGAAATAACTCTGATTTTTCTGGCAGCTACAATGAGGGACTGAGCCTGGTGTATATGGCAGCAAGACTGGATGGTGGCTTTGCAGCAGTCTCCAGGGCATTCCATGAGGTGAAATTCCCACAACTTCCAACCTGACCTTTTTACCATCAGTTCCCCCATTCAGACAGTAGTCTTCTGGGGTAGGATTCTTGAGACATATTCATGTGCATTTGTTTAAAAGGCTTTCTCTATCCTCCGTAGGGATATTGTGACCCAGGAAAGGATTAGAATCACTGTTTAGGAGCTTCCTTTTATAAAAGTATTTGTATTGCATCTCAAAATGCAATCACATTTCATTCCCTCTATCTTGTTCTCCTAATTCATATTTAGCAAAGCCCTAAATAAATGTCTACTTACCCTACGGTGTGGTGTTACATATTTCTTCAGATCCATGCTCGAATTCCAGAGTTTCAGCCACAAACCTTGATGGACTTTGGATCGGGTACTGGTTCTGTCACCTGGTGAGTGTCTTTCTCTCTCTCCATTCATTGTAGCTCTAGAGAACCATGCTTATAGCACTCCAATATCAAGAGACTGGGGAACCAGAGGGAGAATAGGAAAGTTGCTTCCCTCAGAATAGGCAAGACATGAGAAGGTATATGGATTAGGGCCAGAACTTACATGTCAAGTGAAGAGACCCATGTTTTATGTATCATCAAAAATTTTTGTGCCTACAAGTAGTTTTTTTGAGTCTGCCTTTTTTTTAAGGAGTCGTAAATTAAATAAGAAAATAGCATTGTTAATTTTTCCAACATTTCTATTTCCCCAGTCGTAGGCTTCGTGATAGAGGAGTCTCTTGTAGTAATGATTCTTTGTCGTGAGAACTGGTGGTTTATATTTTGTCATCTTAGGGCTGCTCATAGTATTTGGGGCCAGAGCCTACGTGAATACATGTGTGTGGACAGTTCAGCTGCCATGTTGGATCTGGCAGGAAAACTACTGAAAGGTGAGGACAAGGTATAAGGAAGGGCTTTTCCAAAGTTGAAGGAATTAAGCAAAGGAATACTAAAAAGTCTGTTTAATTCGGGAGTAAAGGAGAGAGCTAAAAATTGAAAATGAATCTGGTCTCTTCACTGTTATGGTCAAGCACAGGGTGATGGAGGTCTTGCTGGACTGTGGTTGGGTTGGGTATGAGTAACAGGACAGGTTACCCAATATTCTCCCTGTCCTCTTTACTGTTTTCTTACCCTGTGCATCTCACTCTCACCTAGCATCTTTCTTTATTCTCAGGACCATGTTTCCTATCAGAACATCACTTCAGTTTATACTTATAAGCCATCCATTTTCAACCTTTTTCATCTCATGGCACATATAATTACTAATATTCTTCGGCACACCAAAAAAATGTTACATTTTTTACCGGTCTGACAAAAAAAAATAGGTATGATTTTGATTCATTCACCCTGGATGGCTGTTGTTTATTTCACTGTTGCCACTTTTTATTTGGCACTCTAAGGGGAAAGAGGGCAGTGCCCGTGACTAAAGACTCAGGTATTGCACGTTTTAACAATTCTTGGGACACACCAGTTGAAAATCATTGCCGTACACTTGTAGTTGGCACACGTCTGCTCTTCTTTACAGGTGGTTCAGAATGTGGGGAGCCATATGTTCCAGGTGTCTTTTTCAGACAGTTTCTACCGGTATCACCCAAGGCAAGTGGCAATGTGTAGAGTATACTAAATGAGGAATTAGGTGGATGGAAAACTAGCCTCAGCTTTGCAACCCAGCACTGAATGTTAGAAGACAAAAGACAGCAGAAGAAATTTAGGGAGCTGGAACTTCACTGTGCTCTTGGAAGCGGGTAATGGTGGATCTGTCACGTTCCCCGTCTTGGTCCTCAGGTTCAGTTCAGCGTGGTGGTATCGGCCTTCTCCCTAAGTGAACTGCCCAGCAAGGCTGACCGCGCTGAGGTGGTCCAAACCTTGTGGCGCAAGACCAGTGATTTTCTGGTGAGTACAAATCCCTTTTTCCCTTCAAGTTTTAAAGCAGCTTCACAGTTTTTATGCTTTCCCTTCTCTACATTGGAGTTTGTCTTTGTTTTTGACCATTTTTTCCTCCTGCATAGAGTCCTTCATCCCTCTTTTAGGGTCACCATCCCCATTGTATATATAATGTTTTTTCCTTTAGGACTGCTGTTCCATCTGTGAATGCTCTTAGACAGAGCTACTGACCTTCGTGTTGTCATGTAATTCAGGGCTTCCGTTCATTCTCCCTTTGTGAACAGATACTGGTGGAGAGTGGAACAAAAGCAGGGCACCGCCTTCTCATGGAAGCCAGGGACCTGGTCCTTAACGTAAGGATCTTTCTGCTTCCCCCCCTCTAGCCCCCCACTTTTCTGTCACCAGTTACTGGTACTCCCTTAAAAACTGAAAAGACTGTCATACAGAGGTAAGGGTGACTCTCAGGAAAGGAGGCATATAAAGTCATTATGACGTAGGGTGGTGGTTGGAGAACTGGGGCCTGTGCATCAAACCTGGCCTGCCACCTGTGTGAGTACGAGCCAGGCCTGTCTGAGTGTCTCTTGTGTGCGGCTGCTTTCACACTACAAATGGCAGAGCTGCATAGTGGGGACAGAAACACATTTTGGCTGCTCTCTGGGCCTTAGAAAAACGGTTTGCTGACCCCTGAGCTAGGACATGGCTGAGCCAAAAATTGTATCTCTTTGGAAGTATATGAGCCAGTGTATAATCCTGAATTTAATTGTCCTAGAGTGGGGTTTTCTGAGAGTGCAGTTGCTGACAAGGACAGCGCCATCCTATGTGCCAAGTTCCTGCCCTTCTGCTGCAAAGAGTTCTTTGTTTTGAGTATTACAGAAGCAGCCAGCTTAACTCAAAGAACAGAGTTAAAAATTACCAGGATTGAATGTTAAAGGAGTCCTCAGTTGACTGAGTGCAGAGATTGACTTATTAAGAATAGACCCCTCAAGCCCAACTAAATTTTTTTTTATTTCCTTTGATTTCAGGGAAAGGAGAAGTCACCTCTGGACCCTCGACCTGGTTTTGTCTTTGCCCCAGTGAGTATTACTTCTGCCTTTCCCAGCATGCTAAGGTCCGAGCTCAACTGTGTCCAGGCCAAGTGAGGGCAAAGTCAAGCCGCCCTCCACTGCTTTGTGTCCCTATCCGAGTTCTTCTTCCTGGACTCCCTGCTCTCCCTGCCCCCCTGCTCCTTTGCTCCCTTATCCTTAGCCCTTCCTGACTCTGTCACTCTCAGTTTTTCATTGTTATGATCTGTGGTTCCTTGTCTTACCTCATGTTTTTTAATGTGTGTGTTTTACAGTGTCCCCATGAACTTGCTTGTCCCCAGCTGACAGCTTCTAAGCCCCTGGCCTGCAGCTTTTCCCAGGCTTACCACCCCATCCCCTTCAGCTGGGTATGTATTCTGGGAATATTACAGGGAGGAAATTGGGAAAGCAGGATAAAAATAAATCAGCAGTGGGAAGAGTTGGAGAATTCACTGAATAGCCTGGAGATTGTAGCTCCTGAATACACATGACACGGAATATGAAAAGGGCTGCAGGACGGGGTCAAAATTTTTTTCCCATATCTTTCTTCCCCAAACAGTCTCTCTGTCCTTACCTTAGAACAAGAAGCCAAAGGAGGAAAAGTTCTCAATGGTAATCCTTGCCCGGGGCTCTCCAGGGGAGGCTGCTCGCTGGCCCCGGATCACTCAGCCTGTTCTTAAACGGCCGCGCCATGTGCATTGTCACCTGTGCTGTCCAGATGGGCACATGCAGCACGCTGTGATCACAGCTCGCCGGCACGGCAGGTATAGAGGCTATGACCAAAATTCCAAAATTAGGGGGAGGTGGCAGGAACCTGCAGCCCACCGTGACCTCTATTTCACAGGGATTTGTATCGCTGTGCCCGTGTCAGCTCCTGGGGCGATCTTTTACCTGTGACCACGCCGTCTGAGCTTCCTCCGTCCCCTGCTAAAGATCCCCCTGAGAGTTGACAAGGACCTGTACCATGAGTTTTCTTGTATCCTGCCTGCCTGCCAAGGCTAAAGCTACCTGGTATCCAGGATGGAAGGGCTGGTACCCCCATATGTCTGCATTTGTTTGAGGTTTTAATCATAATTAAAAGTTTTCAAAGAATGGAAATGGATCTCGTGATTCTTACAGAGGTCAGCCATCATAGCTGTAATGAAGCAAGTCCTCAGAGTTGCAATGCCTTTCTTCCCACACGAATCTCAAGCTCACCCTCTCCTACAAGAACACTGCTCCGTCTACCAGAGACCCGAACTTCCTGGGGAAGTAATCTGGGGCACTGGGGAAAACTGCCCCCGGCACTCTGAGAACTGGCTCTACAGGTCTCAAGGTTGCTAGGCCACCTGCCTAGGGGACCAGCAGCTGCTCAGCCTCTGGGTTTTCTCCCTCCATCCTTTTCTTTCATCGCTCTCAGGGTTCATCAGCTCCCCCAGAGTTTACTTCATGAGTTTTCCTCAAGAGTTGATCCCTTCAGGACTGACCCTTCCGTCTCCACCCCCACATGGCCAGGCAGCGTCCTTCAGTTTGCTTGGTTCATTTCTGTCTTCCCCCAGGTCTTGCTGTTCGGAGCTAGAGCAGCTTCCATTGTGTTAAAACTCAGTCTCTCTCCCACAACACACATCAGGAAATAGGCACAATCAGAAGTGGTAACAGAATCTGCTGTCAAACTAGAAATCTCAATGCCCCACTAGACATTTCCATGTCTGCAGCTATTTTTCTGGGGTTACAGGAAAGGGGAGCCCCTCATGTACTAGTTCCCAGAGTGGCGGCAGCAGCACATTCCTCAGCTCCACCTGCTTCCTACCCCACTCCCCACCCCCCACTGCTGGAGGCCCCAAATCCCCTCTGAAAGAGTGTGGTTCAGGTGTCAGCATAGTGACCTACAAGACCTGGGTGGGGTAGAGAGGGTATGGAAGGTTGAGATCACATGTCCTGAGTGAAGCAGGACCAGGTTACCCCCAACACAAAATAGCTGGGAAGTAGCTGCCACAGACTGGATTAGACCAGCCCCAAGCATGAATTCAAAAAGTCCACAGCCCTTGGATTAGTCATGGAACTGAAAAGGAGAAGACAGCACAAGGCTGTGCCTGGCTGGGAGTCTGGAGTTTCCAGTTTGGTGTGAGGCAGGGGAGGGGCCTCCACGTAGGGGGCGGGCAGGGAGCTGGGGCAGGGCCCCAGTCAGCTACGCAAGGCTGCGCAAGCAGAGGCAGCACCAAACAGGACCCAACAGCCTCCTGAAACTTGGGGAGTGGACACCACAGCTTTGACCACCCAAGGCACCGCTCCTGCTCCAAAGCTTGTAACTCCATTTTTCATCTGAGACCTCTGCTTAGCCTGTACCCCAAGGATGGAACTGCTGATAGGAGTAAAAATTGGCTGCCTATTTGCCCTGCTGGCTCTCACCCTCGTCTGTGGCCTTATTCCCATCTGCTTCAAATGGTTCCAGATCGAGGCAGCCACAGGTACAGCCCTTCTGCGTCTTTGGCCCCATAATCCGAGTCTGACTTTAACCCTGTCACCCTGTCCTGACACCTTGCTCTGATTCTCTTGCCACCCCAAGCTTGGATATTGGGTGCTGCCTGTTGCTCTTTAGTCACCTTTGTCCATGTCATTTAGTCACTCATTGCCAACTACAGTGCCACTCTTGCTTTTCATTAGGTCATCGCCGCCGGGTCCTCAGCCTCCTGGGCTGCGTTTCCGCAGGTGTTTTCCTGGGCGCGGGGCTCATGCACATGACTGCTGAGGCCCTGGAGGGAATCGAGTCAGAGATCCAGAAGTTCATGATGCGGGTGAGCAGCTGAGCAGCAGGGCTGAGAGGCCAGAATGACGAGCAGAACCAAGGGGAGAAGGGGAAAGTGATGGGGCCAAGGACACAGGTGGCCCAGTAGGGCAGACGACAGCTCTTGTGTTCTGTGGAATGAGGGCCACAGGTCAGACTGAGCTTTAAGGAAAGCAGTGGAGCTGAAGGACAGGGCAGCTCAATCCCCCATCTAATTTCTGCTTTTCTCTCCCTAGAACAGGACAGAGAGTGAGGGTTATTCTTCTGGTGATGCTAATTCATCTTATGTAAGTATTTCCCACCCCCAACCTGCAGGGTGAGGAGAACCAGAGGCCCCGCATACCGGGCCCTTTTGAGGTGAGGATGTGAGGGCTACCGGGAATCCCTCTGCTCCCCACCTCAGACACTAGGGAAGGGAGGAGCCAACCCAGTCTTTTTGGGTTTGTGGAACCCCAGACAAACCTCTTGCTTCACTCTTTCCTTCTTTCCCTGGACCCTGAGACATGCTCCCCATCGCATTCCCGTGTTTCAGCCCTGCTGACACCGTGTCCCTCGGTCCCTCCGGTATTCTTGTTGCATGTCCTTATCTCCTCGGACTCCACCCCCTCCCACTGTTTAATGTTCTAGTCCCACATTTCCATTCTCTCCAGGCTCCCATCCCACCCCCACCCACCTCCTGCACTCCCTTCCCCCGACCCACAGCCCCTCTCTCTGTTCCCAGACAGACTATCCCTACGGAGAGCTCGTCATCTCCCTGGGTTTCTTCCTCATCTTCCTTCTGGAGTCGCTGGCATTGCAGGGCTGTCGTGGAGCCGATGGAGGATCAAAAGTGCAGGAGGAGGAGATGGGCGGGGCTCGTGTCCTTGGACTGCACAGTCACGGACCTATCCCCTCACCCTCTCAGAGTCCCTTTCGAGCCCTCGTCCTCTTGCTCTCACTCTCCTTCCACTCAGTGTTTGAAGGCCTGGCCGTGGGGCTGCAGGAAACAGTAGCAGCTACCGTGGAGCTCTGTCTGGCTGTCCTGGCTCACAAGGGGCTCATAGCGTTTGGGGTGGGACTGCGGCTGGTGCAGAGGGGCACTGGATCACGATGGGCTGTGTTCTCCATACTGTCATTTGCTGTCATGTCCCCCCTGGGCCTAGCCCTGGGGCTGGCTGTGGCTGGAGGAAATGCTGATGGGGGCCGAGGCTTAGCCCAGGCTGTGTTAGAGGGTGTGGCAGCCGGCACCTTCTTATATGTCACCTTCCTAGAAATTCTGCCCCGGGAGCTAGCTGGTCCCGAGGGCCCTCTGCTCAAGTGGGGCTGTGTGGCTGCTGGTTTTGCCTTCATGGCCGTTATTGCTTTGTGGGCCTGAGAGGTTCCTGACTTTCCTGCAGACCCATCTAGAAGGGTGTCCCTACCACCAGCAGACACTGCTCAGATGGCTTTGGCCCTCAGACATTTCTTCGCTGAGACTAAGCAGAGTTCACTAGGCATCATCCCCATGAACTGGGTCCCGGGTTTTCCTCATGAGATGCCTCTGCTCCTCCAGGACTCAGAACAGGATGTGTACGTTTGTTTTGGTTGAGTGTTTATACTCTGGAAAATTGGTACAAAGACCACTGCTCCAAATTTGACTCTTGTTCCATTTTTGCTGCTATGTGTAATAAAACGTCCACTTTCCCCTCCCCCTTCAACCATGCTGTACTTCATTCCTCCAGGTTACCGAAGAGCTGCCCCGTGGAGTGGGAAGGGCGAGGGTTGGATGCAGTCTCCTCCCCTGCAATCAGGGCCCCCAGACACAGCAGCATTGCTGAAATTCCAACTGCCGGCTCTCACCTTGCCTACAGCTGTTGAGGTTCTGAGCCAGAGTTCCCGGCATTTAGAGACGAAGCGGGTAAAAGCTTGGGGATCTAGATATTTTTCCTACACTAACCACACCCACTCCGCTCCCAGTACCTATTATCAGCCACCCACGTTTCCAGCAGACTCTCGAGATTCGGCTCCAAGGAGCCTTCTTCCATCTGGTTTCTATTTTTCACACTGAGCCCTATGTGGCCTTGGATACATGATTGTTCTTTGAGCCTCTATCTCCCTCCATCTGCCTTGTGCTGCGGGATTAAGAAGCAGTGTATTTGGAAAGGCAGAAAGGCGCCAGAGAGACTCCAAGGGCGATTACTTGGCTCTGCCAGGAGGCGGTGGCTTTCCGTGGGCCTGCCCTACCTGCCGCTGTGCCTCTGGCCCCTCCCCCTGGACCATTTGTCTTTCAGGTGAGTAACCCTACAATGTGTCTTTCAGGTGAGTAACCCTACAGTGTGTTGCTTCTCTTAAAAACTGCACGAATACAAAAACCGGGTACCTGGAATTGAGGAGCAGTGGGACGACTGCTGCCCAGCCCCTGACCCGTGGGGACAGGGAAGGTGTGTCCTGTGAGCTCAGGCACGCTCACCCATGTGACCCTTCACGTTTGCTCGGTAGTGGCCCAAGTGGCCCCAACGTGGGCAAGGTCTCCTGAGTTTCACTCTTGTCTCATTTCGTTTCTGTCTTCTGTCCATCCCATGCTCCTTCCCATGGATTAAGATGTGTAAACCTCTTCACCAGCCCAGCTTACACAGCTGGGGGTCAGTGAGAAGCCAAGCTAAAGGCAAAACTAAACTAAAACGTCTGACACAGGACATAATTTCCCCGAAGCACCATCCGGTTCTGCTTCCCTTCCCTATTAAGTGTATTCACACGTAACACACTCAGAACAGGGCCCAGGATGTTGTCGTAATAAGAGTTTCCACGCTGAGCCCCTGCCGTGTGCCAGGCCCTCTGCTGTTATTTCCGCATGTATTGTCCCCCCTTCCCGGCCCAGCCAGGTAGATGTGATGCCCATTGTGAGTCCAGGGAAACGCACTCCAAAGTTAAATAATTTGGTCGCATAACTAACTGAGCTTCAAACCCACGTTTCTGTGATGCGAAGAAAAGCTCATTCTCTTCTTTTCCCTGTCTTTGCCTTCCCCACCTTTACTGGCACCTCCCGTCTTGTGCGTTAGAGTCTCTGGAGAAAGCAGAAAGTACGTTGGGTAATTGAGGCCAGTTTAGTCCAAGGAGCGTACAGAAGGTGTGGGCAGGGTTGGGACAGAGCACAAACGCTGGTGCAACACCCTGGGGCTGAGTGACAGTGACGGTGGTACCGGGCCGGAGAGAAGGAGCCCCAGGAGCTGGCTGGTTACAGAAACTCCAGACAGCCGTCCACTGGCCTTCGGGAGAGGAGCACAGCCAGCCTGCAGGGGCCTGGCAAGGAGTGCTCTGAAGCTTAACGCCATCCCTCCTGCTGCAGTTCAGTGTCTGGGTAC